TAGCTTAGTGGAATTAACCAAGTTTAAAACTAATTATTGACTTGCCGATGATAACAGTTGAGTACAGAAGTTAAAAATGTCGGCTAATCGATAGCGACTTGGTGGTAAAAAGGTATCTTATTTTTAAGAAAATATAAATTTCCATAATTCTGTTAGTTTAAAAGCCATGAGTGTGAAGTGTTAGGAAGCTCTTGTGTTCAATGTCCTTTGATTTTCATTGGTTTTTTCAACTGATTTCAAGTCGTGATGAAACTTAATGTCGATAGCATTATTCAAGATAAAATAATAATTTTCTAAAATAAATAATATGCCTTACTTCAACCAATCCATGAAATTAAGCCACCCTCCATCATTGTCTTCAGTGACTTACTGTCTCACAACAGACCGACAGATTCTGGTTCCGAATCACGCAAGGCGGAATCGAGGATGCGCACTGCTGAGGAGCACCACAGTAGGACGAAACGGTTGTCCAGTGCTTCCAGGTTTTCCATGGTGATATAGTTTCAATTGACCTATGAACTCAACTATTAAATTACTATAATATCCCCTTTCTGATAAACAATGTGCCTTACGAGAATCCAGGTAATTTAATAGATCACTCTAGAACTTCGTAGAAAATTCAACCGAAGCCTTCGAAATGTCAATTAGAAATGTTAGTGAATATTTCCAAACTAATTTTTCCAGATTAGTTCGTTAGAATCTTTTTCATTCGCTTGAACTTTTTGATAACAAACAGAAATAACAGGATACGATAAAATATTAGGAAATTTGATCATCTCGTTAGTAAATAAACATAATCAATAAATAAATACAAATTTTCTTTTAAGTTATAACTGAGTTAATACAACCAATCATTAAACTCAATAACTGAGCAAAAATAAAGATTTTGTAAGCAGAGGTGGATGGTGATTAGCAGTTTAATCCAGAATATTCGTTTTATCCTATTTACGACTTGCCAGATTGATCTACCTACAATTCATAGTTGATATTCACTTTGAGACTTGAACCGACTATCATTCACTGTAAACACATCCCATATCCACTTAGTTACTAAGTCTAAATAGTCACTAACTTGTATAATAATGAAAATAAAAGATTCATTACAAACTTTTTTGGATAAAACAAGTAATTTAGTACTTTCTACATTTTATCACAAGTTCAATTCAAGTTATCAAAGAATCAATTATTTTCAACTGAATTATAACATTTATCTAACCCCAGATATGAATAAATCTTTATATCAGAAGGGGTTTTGTGGAAATTTTAGAAATTTCACAGATTGAAATCATGAGTCAATTGAAGCTAGACCACCATGGAAAACCCAGAAGCACTAGACGGCCGTTTCGTCCTAGTATGGGACTCCTCAGTCTTGCACATCCATGATCACACACCCCGCGAGATTCGAACTCAGGACCAATCAGTCTTGCGCCAGGTGTTTAACCAACTAGACCATTGAGGCAGCATTCAATCTTTATATATTTCTAAAAAAAATCCCCTTCATATGTGTACTTTTTATCCTGTTAACAGATAAATCCGTTATTCATTTATGAAGTAATTCTAATATATTACTTTTGTTTAAATTTCGTGCTAAGAACAATTTATTAGAGAAGTAATAAAAATCTTTATGATGTAACTAATGAAATGAGAGAAAACTCCTTTAAAGTAAGACAGTATTTATTTTATTATCTGTTGATGTTTAATCGGTTACAAAATTTAAAGAACAGAGTGATTAAAATTCATTTTTAAATATTAAAACCTCTACAATAAAATTAACACTAACATTGAACTAAGAAACTCACTGAATGATACGATGATCTTTAATGTGATAGTTGCTAAGTATGTATTGCGATCTAGGTACAATCAGATGGCAAGTTAAAAACAAAACGAAACATACATACTGAATTCTGTTCCAAGTTATCATTCGAGCATATTAATAGGATATTAGTAAAGTGAATAGATAGTTTTAGATGCATTTCGGTCATACTTGATGACAAAATGAAGAAATTCATGAAGTATGCTTCATCTTAAATTCACTTGATATTGATTACTTGAATCTTCTCATCGATGGTTAGGACTGCAATTGATCAGTCTCTTATTGGAATATATGCGTAATTTGTGTATTACCTCAATATTGCCTTAATTCCACTGCCAGCCACTATCCATCTATGAGATTAGATGGTGGTTGGAGGTAGTCGACAGGAAACCCTGGGCCCGGGTTCCGTGCTACTTGGCACTCGTCAGCAAGGTGTACCTATAATCTTGAGGGAACTGTTGGTCCCTGACGGATTCGATCCCGTGTCACCCAGCTTCACAGTCAGAGACGTTACCACTGAGCTATCCCGGCCGCGACTGACCTCATATAGGACTGCGATGTAATCAAAACTGACTGGCAACTGGGTGATGATCGATGTCATGCGTGTCAAGTCTTTATTTTAGTGCAACATGGTCGATAGCATTCGATCTGCACTATCCATCTGACTATCCATCTATGTTCCATCTTGTTTGTAATTTCTTGTTTCAAGGTCTATAGTAATATGTAAACATAGATATAATTTAGGTTTTTCTAAGTTATCTAATAAGATAAAACAAAACTTGTGATTTACTAAAAATGTAAACCTAATCAGAATACTAACAGTTTTAGTTATGAGTAAATATCCAGTTAACCTAAAGAATGTTATTCATATGGTTAAAAATGAGCAATGAACACATGATTCTAAATCAGTTGTTCGTCTAGTTTCTGATCATTTAAAACAATAAAATTTCATTATACGAATTTGTAAAGATTTCAGTATCACTTCAAAAGTCAGGAACACTATTAAAATAGAAGGTTTGTAGAGATTATATAGTTTTGGAAATAATTTACATCATAGATGGACTTAAGTGACATAATTATTTTTTTAAATAGGGGGGAGCTATTTCATCTTAACAATCCACACCTACGTCTCTCCGACGTCCATACTCTTGAAGCGAGTACATAGCTTTGAAACATTCACTGGTTTACACTTCCAACCTTAAACAATTCTCTATATTGCTAAGTTATCATCCATTGTCAATTGTGATACCTTTTTCACTCTCATGGATTTTTGTAAGTAATTGGATAACATTAGTTGATGCTAATTGTAGACTTGTATCGCAACCAAAACACTTATAATATAAGCTATAAAAAAATCACTTGTATATTAACAAAAAAATTTTTAACGTTTCTTCGATTCGTACAACCAGATGTATGGATAAGTTTAAGCAAAGCAAGAACAACAAAGTTTGCAAAATAAACTGAATTCATCCTATTTCACGGTTTCTCATCAGCTACAATTACTGATGTAACTATCATTATTAACAAATGTTTAACATACTTCATTTTGTCAAGTTTAGACAAACATTCAAGAGGGGCCACTACAAGATGTTCCTAAGAACTTAGGGCTTGAAGAGAGTAACTTACTTACAAGTGCAATTGCTAAACATATTCTCGATAGTGAACATGAAGTAAATGTAAGTAGCGCATCTAAACTAGTCGATCTAGGCTTGACAAACTAAGATATTATCAGAAGGGGTTTGTGGAGATTTTAGAACTTTCACAGATTGAAATCATGAGTCAATTGAAGCTAGATCACCATGGAAAACCTGGAAGCACTGGACAGCCGTTTCGTTTTAGTATGGGACTCCTCAGCAGCGCGCATCCACGATCCCGCGAGACTGATAGGTCCTGGGTTCGAATCTCGCTATGTTAAACATTTGTTAATAATTATATTTATAATTGTAATTTTTGGTTGTCTGCGGTTAATGAGAAACCATGAAGTAGAACTAAAGTGAAAGAACACTAAGGTGGGGAAGAACAATTTATTGTCTAATACTAAATCATAGAGTTATTTGATAAAATGTAACAATCATACACGGAACACTTCATTTACAAATCTTTTATCAATTGTCTTTTACACCCTTCATGATTCCTCCAATCGTGGAATCCAGTAACTGATTTCCTAGCTCAGACACAACAGAATTTCCTTTTTAGTTAATATTTTCATTAGATTTTAAAGGGGCTACAATATCTCATGAATCAAAGTAGTTTGTATTTCACTATTTTTTATATGAATGACTATATTCCACATTGAACCACTAATTAGAAAGGTAAATCACATCCGAGTACAAATAGTATCAAAATATTTATTCATTTAGATTAACTGTCATAAGTAACTGACCATTCTAATTTTTAGTATGACTAACAAAGAAACTACACATTCTTACAACTAAGTACTAATTGTACATTGTTTTGAATATAAAACGGTGTTATGGTTTCTCTTAATGCGACTCAGCTACTCTTATTGCTTAGTATTCTCGGGCACTACTTCACTCGACAAGTCTCCGAATCAGAACACGGTGGAATAGAAACGTAATTATATTCCTAATAACAAGGTTGAATGGAACCAAGAATTATAATTTTAAAAAACGTTATTATATTTATAATTTTTAGATCAGAAGATTCTTTGGTATTCTCCAAGTCTTCGTTAGCGCTAATTGATTATTAAATAGTCAATCAAAGTGCCCCAACACAATCCTGTACGGAACATGTTTTAATCTAATTTATATCCTGCTAACAAGCTGATGTAATGGTGAGGAAGATAATGATTGGTTGTTTGCTTGATCAGACTTGTTGATAGCCTGACAGGTGTTAGAGGAGTTATACATTCTCCTAACCTTACTATTACTGTGATTGTGTTGGATTGTTGTCGGTTTTTGGTATAGAAATATATTTACGTTCTAGTCAGGTTAATCACGTGTTTTCGATCTGAGTTGTATTGAAATCCTGTAGAATAGACATTGAGAAGAAATCTAGTGTAGATATTTGTCTAAAGCAAATGAATGTCTCATTCGTGTAGACATGGAAAATCTAAGATTATAACACAAACATAAATAGAAAACCATTACATTACTTATAATTATTCATATAAACTTTTCATAGATATACACATGATAATAATATAAAATTAGACTAAGATAATGTTTCAATTCAATTCTATGAACTTTTCTATATAGTATTCAATAAGAGAATAAATCATATAAAATAAAGATTTCACAATATCATTATCGTCCAAATCATCATCATCCAAATCAGTATCATCATCCGAGTCATCAACATCATCATTATCATTACCACCATCATCATCCGAATCATCATCATCAATATCATCCAAATCAGTATCATCATCCGAATCATCAACATCAACATCATCATCATCCAAATCATCATCATAATCATCATCATCATCATCATCATCATCATCATCAAAATCATCATCATCCAAATCATCATCATCATCATCATCATCATCATCATCATCATCATCATCATCATCATCATCATCATCATCATCATCAAAATCATCATCATTATTAGAAAACTACCATTTATCATCGTATTTTGTAGTTTTCCGTTATTTTCTTTCGAATATGTAAATTAAGTATTTTTGTTTTCCATATGTAAATATCACCCAAACAGCTAAAAAAAGGATATAATGAGAAAGACAGAAATTTATCACAATATTGTGATGTTTCAATAGTTCCCTGTGAAATTAAACAGTTCAGTGTAATAAAAGGTAATCAGGAAGAAGAAGAAAAAAAACAGTTGACTGTAATCCAAAATCAATCTATGTATTGTGAAGAGAAAAAGAAAAGGAACATTGACGTCAATAAACTAACTGTGTAGAGATAAAAATAAAAAAACAAACTGAAATAAAGCAACTATTTTTCAAGTATTACATAAGACGAATAATAATAATAATAGTTAAGTGATGTCTGTCTATAAAGGAAGATAATTATGACAATGAATACTAACAAACATAATAAACATATTGTATGGTTATTATTGTCTAATTACCATAGATTATAATAAAATAAATCAATAATCAGTTTATGTATAAAATCCACTTTACTGATCAAGTTTAACTGGAGTTAAATAATAAAATAGTTTCCTTCTAACTTCAACTAATCCACAAAATTGCACTATCGTCTACCATTGTCTTAAGTGAGTTACTATTTCACAACAGACCTAGTTGAACTTTACGGGTCCACGTGGGACTGATAGGTCCTGAGTTCGAATTTCGGGCGGGAGGGATCGTAGATGCGCATTGCTGAGGAGTCCCATGCTAGAACGAGATAGCCGTCCAGTGCTTCCAGACATTCTGTGGTGGTTCAGTTCCAACTGACCCATGAACTTAATTATTAAATTACTACAATCTCCATAAAAACCCACTATGATTAAAACAGTTTCCATTTAGGAACATTTAAGAAGGTATTATAATTGCTTATTGAATGCACGAGGTTGGACGGTCAATAAATTTTATTCTAGTCGCCACTTATAATGCAAACTGTAGATAACATCGATGCTGTAAATTTAATTATCGTCAACTTATTTATTATATTTATTTATTTAAACATATAAACATTGGTACAAAGAGGCACCGAATAGATATGTGCCACATAAATCACTCAATTTATGTGGGGGCTGGGATACTGCCCTGGTGCTCAAACCGAAGCAGGTGGATTTCTTAGGGGGCCACACCTAGAGCCTTCGACCTATTGGTCTAATTCAGAAGGCACTGAAACAACCTTGGGAGATGCATTCCCTTGGTAGCCGGTGACCAATGATTGCTCCATCCTCCATTTGTTTCTCTAGGATCCTGGAGCCCATGTGCACCATCGGTTTACGAAATAAGTGGTAGAAAATGTGGTATATACATTTTATATCTAAAACTCAACTTTTCGGATGAATTTACAAGGTGTAAAGTTTAATTATAATATAATTAGAGAATATAATATTTGAAAAATACATGACAATTCAAACCATTTATCTTTGATAGATTTTTTAGTCATATTGCCAATACGATTATTTCATATAGGATTAGGAAAAATAGATACCAGATATTGGATATGCTTCCATTAATAGCATGTCACCAACTAATAGAACGCTTATGCACTGCATATCCACACTGTAGTGTATGCTACTTATATCTCTCGACATAAGTAGCATGTGTCATCAATTAATAGTCAAGTACCTGGTGGCAGAAAGTTATGAAGATCAAAGAAAAGAGAACGAGAATAGTGAATGATTACTGTGCAAATAAAGGAACAGTCGAGTCTGAGACTAAGATATTCTGTAATTTTGTGTTCAAATACATCCGATTATCTCCACTTGTGTTCTCTGTCACTACAATATGACAACTCAATATTGATTAACAAACAACTGAATAACAAAACTCAGATTATCCCTTCTTCGTTGTGATTTTAGTCAATGTTGTTATTTGAAATAAGTCCATCATTATTATTTCGATTATTGAAGTAATTTAGAACTTACCGTTATCTTTTAATCCTTCATTCTTTAAATAATTAACAGTCTAAAACTTGCTTGGTAATCTATTCCTGGTCATTAAAACAAAAAAATGAATTCTTTCACTGAATTACATAGTCACTATGAATAAGTAAATGCATACTTGGTCATAAATTAGTTTCGTAAAGAGATAACATATATATGCACACATCTAATATGCATGTCCTAGTAAAATGTTAATTAATTTCTATTATATCTATCTAATCTGGTTGTTTTTTTAGCAAGATTTTTTGCTACGGGATGGGGTTGTTGACCTCATGCCTAACCTACCTCCTTTACCCGGACTTAGGACCGACAGTAACTTTCTAAGAACTACATGAGGAGTTTGTTATATTGAGACGAAAAAAATTAAGCTAATAGTGTGAAAGACACATATACCATTGAAAAGATCACAACTATTCAGCGAAAAAGTTCTTTACAGTGATATTTGATGAAGCTGTACAGTTGTGCTTAAAGTTAATTAGTGTACATAACAGTCTATCAAAGAATAGAATAAGATCACATAATAAATTTTTATGAAATACATAACATTAAAAAAATATTATATAATGTTCTAACGGTTACTGAAAAATAGTCGTGGATGTGCAATTCTATAGATTCCCGTAATAGGACGAAACGGTTCTTCAGTGCTTTCAGGTTTTCAATGATGGTCTAGCTTAGATGTTATCTCGACAAATCCCCTTACTGATAAGTAGAAATACATTATATATATATATATATATATATATATATATATATAAGGTAATTAAGTAGCACAGTATCGTTTCAGGTCGTATTAATAGCTGAATAATTACTATGAAAAATTTAGAAAGTGTTAATGATAATCAATTATTACGTATAGAAAGTAGAAAATTAGATTAGGACCATAGGAAATTAATATTTTGAATCAGTCGTTTATGTAAACAAAGTGATTTACAGGAGACTTCATTGTAAGTAAGTTTATAATTTATACTCACTCAGACCATGAATCAATCTAATTTAGACAAGTAACTGAAAACCTGGAAGCACGAGATCGAAGATCCAGGATTCGATCTCCGGTCACTAGGTTCTGGATTCACACTGTTGAAGAGTCCCACATTGGAACAAAACGGACGTTTAATGCCTACAGGTTTTCAGTTGGTTGCCTAACATGAATTCGTTTGTAATTCCAATTATTTCTAACTAATAATAATTTTTATGCTAAATTTTTTATCATTCCGCTTTTTGACATTTTCATTGTTTACCTATTAGGCGATCCAATTTGACATTAAAATATATGGTCTAGTTTGAGTCGTTTAACCATTGTGAATTCGTCAGTACACATCCCCAATGAAAATGTCACTTCGTAAATTAAAAAAGATTGGTTTAGTGGAAAGTTCTCTTTTTGGTAAACTCATTTTCAAAGCTACACAATTAGGATTATATACTTACTTTCCAAAATGACAATAATCACAATAATAAAATTTTGCTAAACATGGTAATAGTGAGGTAAAAAAGAAAGGCATAAAATTATTATTTTTATTATAGTAATTATTAATAGTTTTGAAAAAAGATGGATAATGGTTAGAAGTGGAATCAGAGATGCGTGTTTCTCCCTATTTGAGACTCGTCAGGTGGATGTACCTGCATCTCAGATTTGATGTTCTTTCTGGGACTCGAACCTAATACCGTTCGCTCCAAACGCCACCGCGCTCGCCACTTATCTACTGAGTCCTGATAACCACCTGTTTGTGTAATGGGGTGAAGTTTAACTTCATTTCTATCGTCTCATTGTTATTTTACTTAAGAAGCTTGTGACTTAAGGCTATATCGAAGCAATCCGTACAGGATGCACATATGCCAACAAGATACTGATCAATTGCAGTCCTAAATAACAATGGGAATATACAAGTAAAACAGAATCAAGTGAACTTAATAATATTTTTAAGAGCTTGAATATTTATCATGGAGATAGATAAGAACATTATTATTGGGAAGGAAAGGCTTGACATGATAAAGTAAAGTGTTTAAAATATGATGAATTATAATCAAAAGGACCATAGAAACATAAAATATCAGTCAGGAGTAAAAGGTCTATTCTTAAAGTATCTAACATTAACAACTTTTCAAAACAACAAGTTTGTCGACAATATAACTTAAACAGGAGAATAAAAGTTCTCTTTATCATTCTAACTAGCGTTTAATAATGATTAATGGGACCTAAAAGTAGTATTTAAACAGATGAGTGATATTCTCTTAGTGCTTACAATAAATCACTGTCAGTGAATGATTTTCTCATATATCAAGTGACTAACTAATGACCACTCACTTGTAAATTCAATAATTGAAATCATAAGTCAGTTGAAGCTAGACCACCATGGAAAACCTAGGAGCACTGAACAACCCTTTCGTCCTAGTATGGGACTCCTCAGAAGTGCGCATCAACGATCCTGCCCCCCCTCGAGATTCGGACCCAGGACCTATCAGTCTCGTGAGCCAGCCCTTAACCATTAGACCACTGAGTCGGCCGGCGTACAATAGTGTTAATATCTAACTTCAACCAATCCAAGAAATTGCGCCTGTCCTGTGCTTCCAGGTTTTTCATGGTGGTCTAGCTTCAATTGACTTATGATTTCAACTAATGAAATTTCTAAAAAAACACTCCACAAAACCCCTTCTGAAGATAAATTCAAACAAACAATCTATTCTTAGTCCCTTCCATTTCACTCAACATATATAACATGGAAGTTGTAATAAAAATCAATAAATTAAGTCTGTGTTAACACAAACTTTTTGTTTATAAACACGTTTCTATAGTATCCTTCACTTTACTATAATTACTTCGTAACAGAAAAACAAAAAAATTTTTTTGTAATTTGATATATTTTCATAACTGATCTAATTACAAAACCAAAACGAAGTATGTTTTCTGAAGAAAAGAAAAACGTTTTTAATATTTTACATTAAAATAGATAAATATTTATTGAAATTTTACACTACATTACTTTTTCATGGTTAGTAGTCAAATGTAAGACAAGCGTTTGGTCCTATTTCGGA